ACTGTCACCATCATCTTCATTGAGCTTCTTGTTGCTGTCCTATCTTTTGGTTTTGCTTATTTCAAATTCTTTCTCCTAATGACGAAGAATGTATAATTTTGTTTCATTTCTATTTCTTCATCGTACTCAGAGTTTGAGCTTGCATCTGAAGTTCGTATGGTTTCCAAGTTATCTGTATTCATTATGCTGGTTGTGTTAAGTGCAAATTGAAAATTTGCGAAGTCTTGTTATGCAAAATTTTGCATTATACTCAGTAGTCAACTGCTCTGGTATATGTCTCGTTTCCATTCCTCTAGAATTTCTTTTGGATTGGAAAGAATTAATATTCTTTCTTCCTCCTTGTTGCCACAAAAGAGTCAAACTTTATCATTTGTGTATGGAACAGTAATATAGGCACGTGGTTTTGTCAATGTACTGGCATGGCAAGGGATAGAAAGGGGGTAATTGTATTTGGGTCAAGTCTTTCAAAAGGAGTTGTAACTGTAAAATGTTTGGTGGTTAGCTAAGGCTAGACACCTCTTTGTACTAACTCTTTAAGTTTTTACAGTTAATCAGTTATCTAAAAAAACTATAAGGATGAAAGCTGTTAGCTGGATTCAATGAGTCAGGCGGGCTTCCTATGGAATGAATGTGGGGAGAGGATTTATGTCATCTTATGCAGAGTCTGTAGTTCAATGAATGGCATGGTGTGGTTGAATTACTGTTCTTAATTTCTTTCTGTACGTGTACACACCGTCTTTTCTGCAAGTACAAGGTTGCATGGTATCACAGATTTTCAGTTTTAAGGTTTGRATGTGTACTTTATTCTTTTTTTTGGGTGTATATTTCACTCTATACTTGATTATTGATTCTTCAGCTTTTTGTTTTACTGTTGTAAAATGCATTGCTATGCTTTATCCTTCTACTTTCTACGGATGCAGATGCATTTCTTGGAAGAAATTATTAATAGTTTTTGCATTATCTACTTTTAAAACATGTCTGTTTTGTGATGGCTCATCTGCTTCCTGATTTTGCTTCTAGTTGTTTTTAGTTTGGATCTAGTCAATATGAGCTATTTACATTGCTAGCTTTGCTTTTACTTTACAACTTCACCCAGGCATTGTTAAGTTATTCAACTTGACCTTTTCTCGCTTTGTTTTTGTCAATATTTATTCACAAAATTATTGTATACAGAGGGCTTAAGAATATATTACGACTGCATATTAAGAAGGTCAACTGCTCAGAATGGGAGCAGATTCGAGTCCCTTCAAGGTACATGCCGTTTTGTTTCTTTCTATTTTGTCTTGTTTTAAGTTCTGTTTTTTAATTGATTTAGAAAGTACTTTTGTTTAGATGTTTGCCTTTTGGTACTCCATTGCCTGTATTCAGTGGTTGTTCTTTCTCCTTTTTCTTTATTCTCTTTCTGGTGGTGGGAAAGTTATACCAGATAGAAAAATTGGGGGGGGGGATTCATTAGTTCCATGTCCAAGAATCACATATTAGATCCATCTTTTTCTAGAGAACCTTTGACCTTATAGGCTTATCTATGTACTTGGTTATACAAACTACTACTTGAAAAGTCATGTGCACCATCTTTTATTAGTTATCAAATCCAGTCCTTTGCCTTCTGGATGGAATCTCTCAATGAGTTACCATCTGATTTTATCTTAAGCAAATTTCCAAACTGAGAAAAGTCATAGCATACAGGAACTAGTATGAATTCTCACAGTTGAACATGATAGGATTTGATGAACTGGATAGCTTGAATTGTCAAGTTTTTTAATTTTATGGAACACTGCAATCTAAAAATGAAGTTTCTAACATTTTCTAATAATCTTTGACAAAGTGCTAAAGATGGTCCCTCAAATAAAGTGTTCACATCCTCCAGAACCACTATATAACTAGTGGCAACTCCATTCCCATTCACCACTTACTCCTTCTAAAGGGTTTGTAGTTGAGAACCATTCTTCATATACACTTTAGGCTGCATTTGGGAGTATTTTTTGGTGTAAACGGTGCTTCTGAAACCACTGTTTGAAATGGGCATTTTGAAAAAGTTCTTTTTTAGTGTTTGACTGGTCTCCAGTTTTTTTTTTTTTTTTGTTCAAGATAACTTATTGCAATTTGCAAATATGAAAAGATAAATGGAGTTTTTTTCCTGCTTTTTCAAAGATCTTTTTTAATGTAAAARGCCCTTTGAAGTTTTTTCACCAAATGATTTTTTGACTGGCTGTTGGCTTCCCTAATGTGAGAAGCACAAAAAGACCATAGGAGCACTCCCAAACGTGGCTTTAGATTCTTTCCAATATTCCTGCTATCCTAGTGTCATATTCATCTCCTTGAGAAACACATGGCTCCACCATCCTATTTAAATATTGACAGCCACTTTGTGCCAAAAAATGCCATAGGTTAGGTCTGTACTTTTTTTTTGCCACTGTTGCAATATCTCAGTCCTTTCAGGACTTATCTGTATTTTCTTCCTTCCTTCCTCCCCAAAAACCCCATCCCTCTTGTTGAACTGAACCAGAACTTTTTTCCTTTCTTGCAGTGTTCGGGCAATAGTTGCTCTAAATCTTCATAACTATGGAAGTGGGAGGAATCCATGGGGTAAGCCAAAGCCAGAGTATATGGAAAAGGTATACTTTTTATATGCATGTGGATTTAAATCTTATGTATAWCCTTTCCATAGAATAGTGTTGCTGAAGGTTTACTATTCTGAAATAAACTCAAAAATTAAATGCTTTGGTTGCCAAAAATTAATTTCCAGGTCTTAATTATTATAAAAATACCAAAATATGAGTGAAAGAATTGCTCAAGGAAATCAAGCAAATAAGAAAAGTGGGAGTGCCATGTGTGAAGCTCTACTCTACCAAGGTTAAACATATGCTTTGTATCATAGATTATTGACTACAAAACATCATATCATTTGAGTCAGGATCTGCTGCACTCTTTTTTTTCCTGCACTTCCATTCAGTCTGTGACAGGTGTGCCCTTACACGTGTAAATACGTAAACATATGAGACCCCACATGTAATGGAACACCTGTCACTGACTGAACGAAAGTGCAGGAAAAAAAGTATAGCAGATCTGGACTCTACCATTCAAGGATCTATGAATTTCAATCACATGATGGAAAACTGACACATAAGTGGTGTCCAAATGGTTAAAATGTTGCATTTTATTGATCGAAAGGACATGGGAAAACTGGGTCCAAGTTTCAGTACTGCAAGTTTGCAAGCTTCAGTAGACAGCCAGAATCATTTTAAAGGAAGAATGAAATAGAAAAATGATTGAGAGAGGTATAGGCTAACGGAAGATCACTGTTTTTGAGGAGTCATTTTCCCAGAGAGTCATATGTAAAATGCTTGTAAAGGGTTAGTTACTTGCTACACTAATTATCTAAGAGGGATGCCTTGCATATTTTGTATTATACTTCATTCTTTCCCACAAATTAATAAAGTTTCTGGTTACCAATCAGAAAAAAAGAAAAGAATAACAAAGGAAAGAAGACAAAAATATTCTGAAATCTTTGTAACGTTTAATCTGTGGTCTCTAATATTCTAAAAATTGTTATTAATAGCATGATAACATAATTTTAATTTTGTGAATGCTTATGAACAATGATGATCCATTTCCGTGGATACAATGGAACAGATTTCTAATTGGCTACATAACTTCCACTTGTTTGAGTGCTAGGACATAGGTTGCCATTTTTTTAATTTTTTATCAGCAACAAAGAAGTTAAATTTCATTAATATAAACAGAAAATTTACATCAATTTATACAGAAATGAGAGCATGGTAAGCTATCCCTCCCCATAGATTATTATGACTTTGCCCCAAACAGTTGGTTTCTATTAACCACTTTCTTAGCTAAATTGTCAGCCCAAGTGTTAACTGATCTTGGAATCCATTGAACCTTCACTTGATATTTCTTGTCAGTCATCAATATTCACTACCCCATTCACTAGGATGGAGTAGTGGCATGTCTATAAGCACCCATTTATGCATTTGCACCACTGCTCCCCAAAACCAACCCTCCTCAAACCTCAATTAACAATCCTAGTCAACAGGGCGACATGCTTTCTCCAAATCCAACCTACACATTGGTCTCCTACCAGATCTTCTCCTTTCCTCTACACCGTTTCCCATGAAAATCTGGTTTGTGATCTGCCTATCTTGGATAAAAGCTCCTTGAAAGTGAAAAGGAAGCACCACCTTAAGTCACAAAGGCAGGACCTAAGCTACAATATTATAAAACTGTTACTAAACTTATAGGTCGAAAGTCTTTTGAGTGAAGTGCCTCAATTTTTTTAGGGACCAAACTAATGAAAGTTGCATTTATTCCATGATTAATAATTCCTTTCTCAAAGAATTCATTGAATATTAGAATTAAATCATCCTTTACAGTTGCCCAACAGTCCTAGTAAAAAGCTATTGTGAATTCATCAGGTCCTAGAGGCTTTGTTCTGTCCATAGAGAAACTTCCTTTCTCCATGTACTCCTGTTCCAAACTTGGCCAGTCAAATCCTTCAACTATCATTCTCTTATTCAAGGGATTTTAATATATTTATTTGAAGTGATCCACCAATGTTTTTTCCTCTTGATTAGTTCTTAACCCTCCTACATCCAATCATGCCACAAAATTCTTTTTTCTTCTCCCATTGGCAACTGAATGAAAAAACCTTGTATTCCCATCACTTTCATAAATTTTTATTTTTTTCTCTAAGAGATCTCTTCCTTGAGCAACATTCCTTCCATTTCCTTCCTCAAAGAGCATTTGAACACTTCTTCCATCCTAAATTGCCTTTGAACCTCCTTTTTATCCAACTCTTTTTATCTTTTTTCTTTTGTTTATCATTTCCTCCTTTATCCTACCMAAGTGCTCCTTGTTCCATTCTTTCAATTTAGCCTTAAACACTTGCAATTTCTTTTGAAATTTGACTCCTCTCCACTTAAAATTACCACATTACTTCTTAACAAATCCTGGATCTACGAGTGAGCATGGGTTAGTTTGGTTCAATTCCAAGGCAGAACCTAGAACCTACCTTATAGGGCTCGGTTCCAGATTTTTGGAACCAGAACCTACCTGTCAAGATTGGTTCCAAGGTTGGTTCTAGGGTCTACCCATGGAACTTGTTCTTTAAAAGAATAATAATATGCTGTTTTCTATTTTTTCCCTTTCAATAACCATCTATCTTAAACATTCCATATTTCAAATCCATATGGTCACTCAATCTCAGAAAATTAAACATAATCCACAGACAACCTAAATTATATCACATAGTTATTACTAATCCATAATTGAACTTCATACACATTCCACAATTTAGTTAAATACAATCTCAATGTAAATAGAATACAATTCACAATTGACCCGAACAATAAAACATAATTAATACATAATCCATCATTCGAAACCATATGCAAGTGCAATGGTTAAATGAGATTATGATCATTGTAACCATGAGTGCTTGGGTTCAGTTTTTCACATCCTCAAAGTATTTTATAATTTATTTTAAGGCAGATTTGGTTCTAAGGTTGGGTAATTTCAGTTCTACCAAGGTTAATTAAGCTGGTTCTACCAAGGCCAATCAAGGCTGGTTCTCTGGGTTGGTTCAGGTAGGGTAAACCCCCATCCCTGGAGCCGGCTTGGGTGGGGGCCAGTTCCAAGAATTTGGAACCAGACCCTACCCGAGAACCTATTTGAACCAGCCTTATGAAATCCAGTTTGAGGTTGGTTCCAATCGGTTCCAGGTAGAACCAACCTATTTGCTAGCACCTCCCTGGATCAGTGATTAAAACTTAAAAGGTCTGCCTAGGTGTACAGGCAAGGCACATTTCAAGGCGCAAAGGCTTGCGCCTAGCCTAGGCCTTGGTGCAGCCCCTTGTGTTCTTGGTGCACCTCAACCAAGACATAACTCAGATAAATTTTGCTCTTTTTGCATAGGCGGCTAGGGTACAGCTTAGAACCCCCTTTTTACTAATATTGTTCATTTATGTTTCTTAATACAAGACATCTTTTAAAAGATAAGATCCACACATTTGCAATTGATGCATCAGGATGTAGTCAGCAGCATTTCGTGAACCTAGCCTTCTCTACTAGCGCTGCATGTGGCACTTGTGATAGCACCTCCCTGCTTCACAAATCAGCCTTCCTACTTGAGAACACTATGGCTCTAAGAACAAGTCTGCACCAACTGAACCCACACACTTGGGGAACATCTTAGGCAAGTTAGAGATGAACATACAAAGGCAACTGGCATAGGGAACTCAAAGAACTCTTTGTATTACTCAAGTAGGGTGTAGGGATAGGAACTTGACTCTTCTGGGGAAATGGCTTTGGAGGTTCTCATTGGAGAAGGACAAACTTTGGGTGAAGATATGGGAAGTATTCATGGGGTTGCAGCAAATGGATGGGACTCTTGGATTCTGGCAAGGAGTACAAGAGCATCTCCTTGGAAAGTTATTCTACCTTTGTTTTCTCCATGGATCAGGTATGACTTGCACTCAAGCAATCTCATTAATTTTTGGGAACATGTTTAGATTGGGGACTCCTCCCTAAAAGACCAATTCCCAAGCCTTTTTGCCCTTTCCACTTTTAAAAATGAACTGGTGTCTTCATTCATTGTTCATTCTAATTCTATTTCTAGGGTCGACTGGAACTTGGGCCTGCGAATAGATATCAGGGACACAGAGCTTGATGGTATCTCATCAGTGTTATCCATTCTTGAAGGGGTGTTCCTAGAGCCAACAAAGGCATATAGTAGAATTTGGACTCTCACCCCCTTTGGTTCTTTCACTTGTGCCTCTTTCTATAGTGCTCTCACACATTCTTCTTCTTCTGGCTTGTCTTTCCTTGTTAAAAAGGTGTGGTGTCATTCTATACCTCCTAAGGTTGGAAGTTTCTGTCGGGAAGCCTTTCTGGAAAGAGTTAACACAACATATTTACTTCAAAGAAAAAGACCCAATGGTTGTTTTTGTCCTCACCGGTGTTCTTTGTAAAGCTGATGGTGAGTCTGGATATCACTTACTAATCTCCTGTCAGTTCACAAACATCATTTGGGAGTGGTGTACTTCTTTGTTTGGGTGCAGGTGGATCCCCCCCTTCGAATGTACAAAGCCTATTCACATTTATGCCGTTTTAGCCAACAAAAAGGGCCAAGTTTATGTGGAGGTGTATGAGGGCTGCAGTCTGTTGGGCTATTTGGGAGGAGAGATTCACGAATATTTACAGATAAGGAGAGAAGTTTAGAAGCAATGCTGGAGGCCATCCACATTAGGGTTATACATTGGCTGAAAACCTTGGCTCTGTTCGCAGAATTCTCAGTTGATGAGCTGTAAAGAAAGTGGAAGGAGATAGCATAACTTGTTCCAATGAGGAAGGCCTCAAATGTTTGTTGGATCCCCCCACCCCATGACTTTGTTAAACTGAACTTTGATGGCAGCAGCTTGGGCAATCCAGGGCTATACGGGATAGGAGGAGTAATAAGAGATGAACAAGGGAAGCTGTTAGCAATGTATTCTGGACCAGTTGGAGTGGGAGATTCTTTGGGAGCTGAGATTCTTGCATCTCTTGAAGGGGTACAAAGAATCAAGGATATGCATATTAACAAGTTGATCATAGAAGGAGATTCTGAAGTGGTGGCAAACTGGCTGAAAGAGGATAGTCTTAGACTTTGGAATTACAGAAATGAAAGAGGAAATTCAAGTGGCTGACTAAGGACATGGAAATCCAATACAAATGGGTAAAAAGAAGTGCAAACTCTTTGGCAGATGGTCTAGCTAGACAAGGGGTGAACAAAGATTCTATTTTTTGGGTTGTCTTGTAATTTTTGTTCTTTTGATGTTTAATGGTTGTTCTTGGGAGCTAAAAGATTGTTTAGCCCCCTTGCCCTGTAATTTTCTCATATTTTTAATATTAATTCAATCCATAGTTATTGATAAAAAAAAAGTAGGGTGTAGGGATATGACTCTTGAACACTTCTTGGATGTTCCTCCAAACGAGAATACTCCTTGTATAGCCTTCCTACCTTAATTGAATGGATTTGGTCGTTAGAAGTGCCATACATCCCAGGTTCAAAATATTGCAACGTATCAGTCCGTATCGGCTGATACGTATCGTTTCAACAAGAATCCGATACGCGGAACGTGTATAAATCATATGCTCTGTTTCTTTTCGTACGTATCGGCCGATACGAGCCCGTATCGATCTGTTTTGGATCTGTATCGGCCGATATGGGCTCGATACTGTCTGATACAAACCCAAAACAGTCCGATACAGTTAAGATCTGTATCGTTATTCGTTAATCCATGTTTAATACCGAATCTCTCATTAATTTTGTTTATTTAAGTCTAATTTCTCTTTCATTAATTAGTCAATTACTCCAAGGCAAATTTAAATTTAAATTTGAATTTTAGCGCCTAATTCAAATTATCTCATTAATTCCTTTAAACTTTAATTAATGATCCCCTATCATTAATTTCATTTTGTTAGTGTAAAAATTTCAAATTTTAGCTATAGCAAGATTTGAATTTTGGTTACTTGATTTTAAATTTTAACGACCACAAGTTTGCCAATGAGCCACACATATTTGCTTGCTATGATTATATGTATTTTTAGTTTTAAGTAAATTTTCACTTTTCTTAATGAGTGACAAGTTTTTATTAATAAATGCTAGAATTAATTATTAAAATTTATATACTAATAAATATTAAGATTAATATATTGGTTTTTGAAAATTGACATTGACATTGACATTTTAGTTATTCCATCATTTTTTCAACGGTTACTAATTGTGTCCCGATATGTCACACTTTATATAAACCATTAAATTATGATTTTTTACATTTAAATGACTTATTTACAATCATATAAAATTTGTAAATATAGTTAGTAATATATTTTACCATATTTATGTGTATCTTGATTTTTCATTCGTATCATACGTATCCAAAGCGTATCCCGATACGTCTCTTAAAATTGTCTTTCGGATACACCTTGTATTTCCGATACTTTGAACCTTGCATACATCTAATTGCTAGGATCCTTATAATATCTTCTAGAATATTCTACGAGAATGCTCTAGAACAACTCTAGAATAATGTACAATAGAGGGAGAACCATGGAAACAACCAATGAGGAATCAATTTTCAACATTTGTGGAGATAAGGAGGGTAATGTATCAAGCTCTAATGATCAGTGGAGAATGGTCTTGCTAGTTTGTCGTCAAAATTACTAGCTAGTTTGTCCAAGGGCTTTGTAGTATATGGTCTACAAAATTACTTGCTATTTGGATGATGTTGTATTGAGTTCATTATTAGTGCATTCCATGTATTTAAACAAATTTGTTCAATAGATTAAAACAAACTTGTTCCAACCTTATATATCATGTTCAAGAGAGAAAAAAAGAAAAAGAAAAGAATCTTGTATATATCTAGTGAACTGTTGGAATCTTACTTTGCATATTCTATTTCTTAGCTAGAATATCAAGGTGATATAAGATGTATCTATTATTTTGAAGCTAGCTCTTTTGCTCTTAGTTAATGATGATGATGACCAATTTGAGCTAGCTCATAATTCATTTTGGATGTAACATTAAACCTTAGTTTTTGTCTGTCTAATAGATTATTTGGTTAATTTATTATAATCATTTGCACTTGTGTAGATTAAAGTTTTGCTTGAACTCCCTATTATGTAGTTTTAACTCTTTAAATCTACAGGGAAAGCTTTGTAGCGTATTATTTTTCTAGCAGCCCAAGTTTCTTGCAATTGTTTGATGGTTTGGAATAAGATAATAATTGAAAAGCTGTATCAATGCTTCTTAGGGGTGCAAGTCGGGCGGGTTTATGGTCAACCCAGTCCTGACCCTAAAACTTGGGCTTAAGGCCCGAGCCTGCATTGTAATTTGATGCACTCGGTTGGGCTTGGGCTTGGGCCCGGGCCGGGCTCGGGTTGGTTAATGAACCCTCCCTAAAATTATACATGTATGTATGCATTAATGCAAATATGTATGTATATTGGTAAATATGTATAAAAATGTATATACATACAAATATGTATTTGTATGTATGTATGTGTGTGTGTGTGTGTATATATATATATATATACATATAATATGTATGCAAAATTTACATTTATGTACATAACTACATTTGTATGTATGAATGTGTGTAGTTGGGTTGGGTTCAGGCTACCTAAGGTCTAGGCACGGGCCCAACCCAAAAAATAAAAAAGGGATAATAACATTTGAAGGCAACTTTTAGCACTTAATATCAATAAAAGTAATATATTTAAAAAAAATTCAAAAATGGGTTAATTTTTTAAAAATAATATCAATTAAGGGCAAAAACACTGTTCATCTTCTTCCTCTTGCAATCCATTCACCGGCGTCACTGTCTGCCGCTCGCTGCTGCCTCTGGCAACGCCTCCGCCACCTCCGCCTCCGCCTTCAGCAGAGTTGCCGGAGGTGGGCGGAGGCAGAGGCGGCGGCGCTGGTGGTCATTAGTCTGCCCAACGCTGCCACCTCCACCCACCTCCGCCCACCTCCTCCTGTCTCTGGCAACGTTGCCGGAGGTGGGTGGGAGACAGAGGCGGCGGCGGCAGCGCTGGTGAATGGATTACAAGAAGAAGAAGATGAACAGTGTTTTTGCCCTTAACTGATGTTATTTTTAAAAAGTTAACCCATTTTTGAAATTTTTTTAAATATATTACTTTTATTGATATTAAGGGCCAAAAGTTGCCCTTAACTGCTATAATCCCAATAAAAAAACCCAACTTCTTGGGCCCGATCCCAGCCCGAGGACTGAAAATCCAAGCCCAGCCCTAATGCTTCTTTTGTTATTCCATATTTCTACATTCCATAATGTTTCCACCATGTCTATAATTTTTAAAATATTTCCAATATTTATGACATTTCTTTCATTTTTCCTACATTTGGATAACTGACATTTCCACCAATACTGATATTAAACCTTGTTAGAAACTAAACATTAGATCTAATATTTGAGAATTTACAGGGGCAAGCTCCTTGTAATGAATTCTAAATTATCGATAGAGTCATTGGTTTTAAACAGAGCTACTATATAAATGGAAAGTTATATTACCAATATAATACAGTATTTCTAAACCATGACTAGTATCTTAGACAACTAGGGAACAGATAATCCTTTTATTGTTATTACCATATAGTTCCATGAATTGATATTGGCTAGAAATAGTGTTACTCTGTCTTTGTGTTTGTGTGTGTGTTTTAGATGACTGAAATTTGTGTACTTTTCAGAGAGGCTTTGTTGAAGCTCACGTGGATGATGGCCTTCTTGAGGTCTTTGGCTTAAAGCAAGGATGGCATGCTTCATTTGTTATGGTTGAGCTCATCACTGCAAAACATATTGCTCAGGTGCCACTATTGAACTTTTTTCTTAACAGTAATGGAAATTTTTTCATCAAAATAAAAATAGATTATAGGAGCTGGCAATAAGAACCACTGAGAACATGACATCAAAACAAGTATCACCCTGCCCGAAAAGAATTCGAAAAGAACCAATACCCCAGAAATATAACCTTTCAATCCCCAATATAAAGCATAATCCAGCATTTCGGTGGCAGCTGTTGCACCGCCTGTTACTAGTAGAAACACCACTTTGTCACACAATGATGGATTCAGTAGTTCAGTCATCTCTAACCTCTCTCACGGTAGCAAAGAATATTTACATGGTTAGGTGTTGGCAACTTGGCATTGCCTCGTAAGAATGTCTACATTGTGCTTGATACTGGCAGTGACATTGTTTGGATTCAATGCCTTCCTTGCTGGATGTTACACAGGCTGATCCAGTGTTTGATCAGAAAAAAATTTTCGTTCACTTGGTGGTGTTTCCTGCAGATCATCTCTCTCAGAGAATATATGCATTGGGATGTAGTGAGCAGCATTTCATGGACCTAGCCTTCTCTACTAGTGTCAATATGTGGCACTTGCAATGGCACCTTTGCACCAACTGAACCCACAAACTTGGGAACTTTTTAGGCAAGTTAGGGACAAGAACATACAAAGGCAACTGGCATAGGGAACTCAAAGAACTTTTTGTATTCCTCAAGTAGGGTGTAGCGGTACAACTCTAGGGATCTCTTGAATCCTCTTGGGGCTTTTGAAACTCTTCTAGAATCTTCACAAAACCTCTTCTATCTGCTCTCATTTGGTTAAGGTTCATGCCACATGCCCAAGTCAATGTCACTCTGTGACAAGCAGCTATGCCTCTATCAGGTATCATATAGTGATGGATTGTGCACTGTTGGATATTTCTCTGTGGAAAGGGTTATATTCTGAGGGACCAAAGTTGGAAATGTGGTGCTTGGGTGCGGCCACAATGATGAGGGATTGTTTGTGGGTGTGGATGGACTTCTGTGTCTCTCAGCAGGGGGAAATTGTCCTTCCCGTCTTAGGTAGCCTTCTGATTCAAGAAGAAATTCTAATATTTCCTCGTTGATTGACAGGCCRCTGTAATGGAGCTTTTATGATTGGTGTTTAGTGAGTTGGCCATGCCTTGGTTGGCTGAGTTCACTTTGATTCTTACAAACTCTAGACTGGACACTTTTTACTATATCTAACTCGCATGTATTAGTGTGAGGGATCTGTGAGTCCCTATGATTACAACCTCTTGTTCAAGATGGACTCGGCTGGGAATGGCAGAGTGATATACTCAGGGATGTCAATGACTTGGTTAAGTCGTCTGGATTATGTAACTCTTCGCAATGTGTTCCATCCTCTGGGGTGACACAGTTGAAGTGAGCATATGGTGTCGGGGAAGATGCTCAGGAAGGTAATGATGGTTATGATGCATTTCAGGGTTGGGGCCGACTTGTCATTGCCAGTAGCAAACAATCTGATATCGATTGATGGTAATAGGATTTTCTGCTTCACTTTTTCAAGGACGAGTGGGTAATTATGCACAGTTCTTGGGGAGAAGAATAGATATAATGAGATAAAGAAACCGGAGAAGTTAAGATAGGGAAAGGGAGGAGCTTCAAGTTGAACATGGGTTGGCGTTGGACTTGCTGTTGTACATTTTTTGCCAGATAGAGATATAAGGGTAAACTTGTAATTTGATACTGTGTACTCAAATTAATGGAAGGGGCCAGTAAGTATTGTAAAGAGACTGGGCCGAATGGGCCCTAACAGCCTTTCGTGTGATATCCTTTATTTTATCTTTTATTTTATGTTGAAGGGCCTCACTTAATGGGCCTGTTACTTGTTCTTATTTTATTTTCTTTATGTAACTGCCAAGCTGGCCGCCCACTTAAGGGTATACTTGTCATCATCAATTTTTTTAGAGATTAATAAAATAGGGTTAGAGGAGAAGGGTGATTAATTCGACTTCTTCTTCTCTTACCTCTTCTCTTCGCCATCTTCCTCTCTCATACAGTTATTCAGATCTGTTCTATTCTGCTAATCACTAAGTTTAATCCTGATATTAGATGACTGATTTACATCTTGGTATCAGAGAAGGTTCAGTTCCTCTTCCTTCTTTTTTCTTTGTTCCTGTACACTCTAAAATCAAGAGTGTATGGAGAGATAGGTTCTCTATAGTATAGAGAATCACTTGTCTAGTTGGTAGAAGGATTTGGAGAGTTTAGTTCTGGCCAGATTTTGCCAAGAAGTGATGCTGTTTTGCTGCTGCCCAAAACCCTAGCCGACTAGAGATTTTCGAGGTTACCAGGAAAGGTGAAGCTTGGGTGTGGCGCTCTGTGCTTGGAAGGTATCTTGTGATTGCTAAAGGAGGGCAGTTCGGGTTTGGAAGAGTTTGGGTTAGTCTGGTGGGTGCGGCAGTGTCTTGTCTCTTCCTCCCATCTGCTGGATGGAGCAAAACCCTAGTTTTTCAAGCACCCAAGTTCTGGTTTGACTTCAAGTAAGTTTACATAGTCAAAATTTTATGTTCTTTGATTTTTGTTTGATTAATGGAGGCATACGGAAGTGAGTTCAAGCAGGTGCCAGTTTCTGGACCTGCTTCAGTAGATTCTGTTTTGACTGGTGTTACCACAATTAAGCTAGATGGGACGAACTATCTTGCTTGGGCACAGTCTATAAAAATCTATGTTTGTAGTAGAGGAAAACTCGGGTATCTCACAGGCAGCAAGGTGAAACCCGAAGAGACAGACCCTGAATTT